TCTGCTGCTGCTGCTGCTGCTGCTGCTGCTGCTGCTGCTGCTGTTGCTGTTGCTGGTGTCTCTCCTGCTGCAGCTGTTGCAACGGGTTGGCCTGCTGCTGCGGCTTGCTTTGCTGCAGCAGCAGCAGCAACAGAAAGAGCAGCAGCAGCAGCACAGCTGCCGCTTATACTTAAGGAATCATCTTTTAGTATCTGCTGCAGCAGCACATGAAATTCTGCTGCTGCTGCTGCATGCTCTGCTGCTGCTGCTGCTGCTGCTGCTGCTGCGTCTGTTGCTGCTTGATCTGCTGCTGCTGCTCCTGCTGCTGCAACAGGAGGACCAGGGGCCCCCAATGCAAAGGCTAAAGAAGCACAACGAATAATACTTGACAGTTGGGGGCCCCCCAACAATCCTTGCTGCTGCTGCTGCTGCAGCTGCTGCAGTTGCTGCTGCAGCAGAGCAGCAGGCAGCAGCACACCGCAAAGGGGTGCAGCAGCAAATACCTCCCACCGCTGCTGCAGCGGCAATCTGTTTATCTCCTCTACAGCTTCTTTATGGGCTGCTGCTGCTGCTGTTGCTGCTGCTGCTGCTCCTGCTGCTGCTGGAGCACCCAGCTGCAGCAGCAAATGTAGCAGCACATCTGCCTCAGCAAACTGCTGCCCCCATGCTGCATGCGCTGCTGCTGCTGCTGCTGCAGGACCTTCTGGCGGCTCTCCTTGTACAGAACCTTCAAGAATGCTGCGTGCTGCTGCTGCTGCTGTTGTTGTTGCTACTGCAGGTGCTGCTGTTGCTCCTTCTGCTGCTGCTGCTGCTGCTGTTGCTGCAGCAGCAGCAGAAAAGCAGCGATGCATGCAAAAAATGGACCGGCAGGCGCAGCCATGTTGGCGGATCTTCTGCTGCTGCAGCACGTGCTGCTGCTGCAACACCTTCTGCTGCTGCCTCTGCTGCCTCTGCAGCACCAGCTGCTGCTGCGGGCAAGGAAAAGCAGCAGCAGCAGCAGCAGCAGACTGGAATCCTGTAGGTAGTATCCTCCCCCTAATACCCTTGAAGGAACACTGCATTGTTGCTGTTGCTGCTGCTGCTGCTGCTGTTTTGCTGCAGCAGACCAATGGCAAGCAGGCGGAGCAGCTGCCTGCAACTCGGGGAGAAGCCAGCAGCATTGCTGCTGCTGCTGCTGCTTCTGTTGCTGCTGTTGCTTCTGTTGCTGCTGTTTTTACTACTGGAGTCTGCGTCTTCTATCATTAACTTCTGCTAATTGCTGCCACGGGTCTCCGTGCTGCTGCTGCTGCTGCTGTTGCTGCTGTTGCTGCTGGTGTTGCTGCTGTTGTCTTTGCTGCGGTTGTATTTAATGCTAGCAGCATCTGTTTCTGCTGCTGCAGCAGATCTATTTCAATGCAGCAGCAGCAACAGCAGCAGCAGCAGCAGCGCGGCCGAATCTTGTGGCCATGAGCTGCTGCTGCCTTCTGGGGCTGCAGTACAGCAGCAAATAGCAGCAACAGCAGCAAGTGTTGCAGCAAACAGCAGCAGCAAATAAATAAGATTAATTAATTAATAGTATTAAAGCAAAAGAGAGCAGCGCAGCAGCAGCAAAGCCTCGTGTTCTGCTGCCCCCCTGCTGCTGCTCCCGACACTGGAGCAGCAGCAGCAGCAGCAGTAGCTGCTGCTGCTGCTGCTGTTGCAGATCGCTGTATGGGCAGCAAATGCATGAGCACCTTAATACACATATATTAATTAAGTTATTTGTTTCTTTCTTTCTTTTTTAGCTGCCTATACACCTGAATATGTGTGCAGCAGTGGCAAGAAAAGCAGCAGCAGCTCCCCGCCGTAGACGGCAGCAGCAGCAGCACAAGCAGCAGCAGCAGCAGCAGCAGCTGCGACGGCGACTAGTATCAGCAGGGGCAAGGAAACGAAGGAGAGATTCTCCTGCTGCTGCTGCAGCAGCAGCAGCAGCTGCTGCTGCTGCAGTAGCTGCTAATGCTGCACAACCCCGAAGATCCACGTACACTGTTGCTGCAGCAAATCGAGCAGTAGGTGCAGCAGCAGCAGCAACAGCAGCAGCAGCAAAAGAAGCTGCGGGGTACACACACCTGTATTAAACTATTTGTGTTGCATTAATTGCTGCTGCTGCAGCTTTATTTAACTGCAGCAGCAGCTCTGCGGTGTATCTACAGCTGTTGTTGTTGCTGCTGCTGCTGTTGCTGCTGCTGGTGTTACAGTGCTGTTTTTGTTGTGTTGGTGCTGCTGCATGCAGGTTGCGCAGCAGCAAAAGCAGCAGCAAAAAGCAGACCGTAACAGCAGCAGCAGCAGCAGCAGCAGCTGCAGCATCCGCAGCAAAAATAAAAAACAAATAAGAAGCAAAACAAACCCTCAAAGGAGCAGCAAAATAACAAATGCTGTAAGAGCTGCATATACACCCCAAACCCTAAACCCTAAACCCTAAACCCTAGACAGCTTAAGAGGTGCTGCTGTTGTTGCTGCTGCTGCTGTTGCTGCTGTTGCTGTTGCTGCTGCAGGCATCGGCGTCGCTCCCTGTACCAGGACAGTTGCTGCTCCCCGCGGGGGCTGCTGCTGCTGCAGGAGCAGCAGCTGCAGGAACTGTAGCAGGAGCAGGAACCTTAGCAGCAGCAGCAGCAACAGCAGCAGCAACAGCAGCAGCATCATCTAGTGATGCTGCTGGCGTGCATGCAGTAACACCACGCAGCGAGTTGTCTCTTCCCTCTGCAGCAGACAGCCCCACAGCCATGGAGGGACTGCAGCAGGAAGCCTCGTGCTGCAGCAGCAGCAGCAGCAGCAGCAGCAATAGTACCGGCTGCAGCAGCAGCAGCAGAGGAGGCCTCTTTGGTTGGATAACCAAAACCTTGTGGGGCACCAACCATGCATAAACAGCAGCAGCTGTTGCTGCTGCTGCTGCTGCTGCAGCAGCAGCTGCTGTTGCTGCTGCTGCTATATGTTTGCTGGTGCTAGCTATATGGCTGGTGCTGCTGCTATATGGCAGCAGCAGCAGCGGCAGCAGCAGCAGCAGCAGCAGCAGCAGCATATTTGAAGGGAGGCGGCCTTAAAGGGGCCCCACAAACTCTGGACATATTTTATTGTCACTCTTTCCTCCGCTGCTGCTGCTGTTGCTGCTGCTGCTGCTGTTGCTGCTGCTGCTTTTGCTGTTGCTTCTGTTGCTGTTGCTGCTGTTGCTGCTGCTGCTGCTGTTGCTGCTGCTGTTGCTGCATGGCGAGACAAAGAGCTGCGTGCCTCAATTGTCTTTGACGTCTTCGAGCATCTCCCCAGCAGCATCTGTTGCTTCGCTGCTGCTGCTGCTGCCGTTGCTGTTGCTGCTGCTGCTGCTGTTGCCGTTGCTGCTGCTGCTGCTGCTGGCTTGCGACAGCACATTGCGCATAGCCTCCCTCGCGAGTGTTTCCATCAGCAGCAAGTTGCTGCCGCTGCTGCTGCTGCTGCTGCTGCTGCCTCCTAGCAACGCGCTTATCTGTTCTTGCGCTTGTTGCTGCTGCTGCTGCTGCTGCTGCTGCTTTCTCAGCTGCTCCTGTAGCTCCTTCTGCTTCTGCTGTTGCTCTTTCTGCTTCCGCTGCTGCTCTTGCTGCTGTTGCTGCTGCTGCTCTATAGCTTGCTGCACATCTTGGGGAAGGAGAGACACAAGAGCAGCAGCATCATCTGCTGCTGCACCCCGCAGCGGCAGCAAAAAAGAAGATAAAGAAACAACACGCCAACCTAGTCCCTCTAACAACCTGCAGCAGCAGCAGCAGCAGCAGAAGCAGCAGCAGCAGCAGCAGCAGAAGCAGCAGTAGATGGGCTGTGATGTTGAGCAAAGCGTAAGATGACTGCATCCCCGTTACTCCTGCTGCTGCTGCTCTCCATCTGCCACGCCCCTCTATCTGCAGCGCCACGCCACGTGCAGCTAGCTGCTGCTGCTGCTGCTGCTGCTGCTGCTGCTGCTGCTGCTGCGGCTGCAGCAGCAACGGTAACGTGACTGCAATGTCTGGAGAGAGGCCCTCCGCTGTCTGTGGCTTCACCTCAGCTTGTAGCCCAATCTGCAGCAGCAGCAACAGCAGCAGCAGCAGCAGCAGACCAGCAGCAAGGAAAGCAGCAGCAGCAACAGCAACAGCAGCAGCAAATCAAGATAATATATGAGAGCAAGAAAAATAGTAATGTTGCTGCACTTGCTGCTTCATCTTTAGGGTTTAGGGTTTAGGGTTTAGGGTTTAGGGTTTAGGGTTTAGGGTTTACCTGCTGCAGCAGCGCAGCAGCACGACGCTGCTTATCTGACGGACAGAAGACTTGCTGCGCAGCACATGCAGCAGCAAACAGCTGCTGCTGCCAATGAGGAGGCCAGCAGCAGCAATCTAAACCCTGCAGCAAATCTGGTGCAGCACTGCTTAACTCTGCTGCTGCTGCTGCTGCTGCTGCTGCTGCTGCTTCTCCTCCTGCTGCTGATGATGATGATGCTGATTCTGCTGCTGCTGCTGATTCTGCTGCTGCAACAAAACTCGGCTCAGGGCGGTCTGACGATGCCTGCTGCTGCTGCTGCTCCTGCTGCAACAACTGCTGCTGTTGCTGCTGCTGCTGCTGCTGCTGTCGGTGTATATAGCGAGCAAGCAGTGCCTCATAAAGATAAACAGCAGCAACTGCTGGACGATTCTCCATGTCATATGCCTGCAGCAGCAGCAGCAACAGCAGCAGCAGCAGCAATGGTAACAACAGCAGCAGTACCAGCAGCAGCAACAGCAGCAGCAGCAACAGCAGCAGCAGCAACAGCAGCAGCAGCAACAGCAGCAACAGCAGATTAAGCCTAAAGAAGCAAAAGACGTACACTGTATGCATGCGCTGAATCCTCCTGCTGCCGTTGCTGCCGCGTTTGCTGTTCCTGCAGCTGCTGCATATGCTGCTGCATCTGCTGCTGCTGCTGCTGCTGCTGCAGCTGCTGCAGCTGCTCAAAGAAAGGACCCCATATACGCGAAGATAATGCTCGGGTGTATAGGCAGTCTGGGTATACACCTATGATTGCTAAGGAGCTGCAGCAGCAAACACACAGCAGCAGCAGCAGCAGCAGCAACAAATTGGACTGCAGCAGCAGCAGCGCCAATCAGATGCTGTTGCTGTTGCTGCTGCGAGACTGCAGCAGCAGCAGCAGCAGCAGCAAAGGCAGCAAACTCGTCACTAACCGCAGCAAGGAAGCGAGCTCCTCAGCAGTCCACGTAGCGGATCTTCGCAGGCCAACAGCAGCAGCAGCAGGGGGAGGAATGCGGGAGATGATGCCATTAACAGCAGCAGCAACAAGAGGATCATTAGGACGGATATCCAGCTCGCTTAATGTAGATACCTGCATATACACCCCAAGTGCAGCAGCAGCAGCAGCAGCAGCAGGTGCACCAGCAGCAGCAGGTGAAGCAGCAGCAGCAGAAGCACGAGCCCTCCACAGAAAATCCGCAGCTGTGCCTTCAGCAGCAGCAGCAAGACAAGCAGCAACAGCAGCAGCAGCAGCAGCAGCAGCAGCAGCAGCAGGAGGTCTTACAAGCCTGAATAGATGTACTTTGCTGCTGCTGCTGTTTGACCATTTTTTGCTGTGTCTTCTTGCTGCTGCTGTTAATACAGCAGCAGCAGCACCTCTTATCCCCAGCTGCTGCGCTGCATGCAGCAGCCGCAAAGAAGCAGGAGCAGAGAAATCCTCAATACTGCAGCAGCAGCAGCAGAAGCAGCACAAGCAGCAGCAGCAGCAGAAGCAGCAGCAGCAGCAGCAGCACAAGCAGCAAATGAGTACACCAATGAGTTGAAGCAGCAAACAGTTATACACCTATAATCTGCTACGTACTGCTGCTGCTGCTGCTGCTGCTGCTGCTGCTGCTGCTGCTGCTGCTGCTGCTGCTGCTGCTTACTTGTGTCTAGAGATTATCTTCAAGTATCTCTGCAGCAGCAGCGCAGCATCAGCAGCAGCAAGACCATCCTTCCCTCTTAGTGCAGCAAATGCATGCATAGATAGGGATATATATTCAATACGTTGTGCTGCTGCTGCTGCTGCTGCTGCAGCAAATGCAGCAGACTCCCTTTCCTGCTGCTGCTGCAGTACAACTGGATCTACTAATGGTGCTGCTGGCTGCTGCAGCGGCTGCAGATAATGCTGCGGTAGTTGCTGCTGCTGTTGCTGTTGCTGCTGCTGTTGCTGCTGCAGTTGTTGCAGTTGCTGCTGTTGCTGCTGCTGCAGTTGCTGCTGCTTCTGCTTCCAATACAGTTCATCTCTTGCTGCAGCACGAAAGAGTAATGCTGTTGCTGCTGCTGCTGCTCCCTTCCATGGTGGCAGCTGCTGCTGCATGTACGGTCTTGGCTGCAGCAGCAGCAGCCCTTTCTTACGCTGCAGCAGCAACGTGACGTGCTGCTGCTGCTTGCTGCAGAGGGACTCAAACAGCTCGAGCACCTCACATAGCTGCTGCGGCTGCATGCACTCCAGGTGTACGTACACCGCACGCCGCAGCAGCAACTCTGTAGATGCTAGTAGAGGCCTTAGCTGCTGCAGCACAGATATAGGCAGCAAATGCTGCTGCTGCTGCTGACGCTGCTGCTGCAGCAACTGCTGCTGCTGCAGGCTAAGAGGACCTGCTAGGCCCGAGTCATACAGAGAACGAGCAACAGATAGCAGCAACGACAGACGCTCTTGCTGCTGCTGCTGCTGCTGCTGCTGCTGTTGCTGCTGTTGCTGCTGTTGCTGCTGTTGCTGCTGCTGCGGATACAGCAACTGAGCTGCATGCAAGGCAACCTCCTGCAGCAGCCGCGTTAAGCAACGCGTTAGTCTCCTTCTATGCTCCTTGCTGCTGCTGCTGCTGCTGCTGCTGATAAATGGGGCCCGTGATGCTTGTTGCTGCTGCTGCAGCTGCTGCAGCTGCTGCGGTTTCTGCTGCAGCAGCTGCGCAAGACGCTGCATGCAACGAGCAAGAAGATATAAAGGAAGGGATGGCTGCTGCTGCTGCTGCTGCAGCGCCTCTACGTCTCCTGCTACTAGTGCATTTGCTAGTTTTTGCTGCTGCTGCTGGTGCTGCTGCAGCAGCAGCAGCTGCTCCAGCTGATCCGGGTCCGTCGGCTGCTGCTGCTGCTGCTGCAGCAGCTTGTTGCTCTTTCTTGCTGCAGGAGCAGCAGTGTCACTAGACAGCAGCAGCAGCAGCAGCAACTCTGTGGGGTTCTGTGCTGTCTCTATTGCTTCCTCAGCAGCAGCAACAAGTGCTGCTTCCATTTCTGCTGCTTCTTGTGCTGCTGCTGCTGCTGCTGCTGCTTTATCCTCGTTAGCAGCAGCAGCAGCAGCAGCTCTCTTTGCTGCTTCCCTCCTCTCTCTTCTCTTCTCCTTCTTCCTCCACCTTGGATCCTTCTGCTGCAGTTGCTGCAGTTGCTGCTGCCGTTCCTCCATTCGTTGCAGTTGCTGCTGCAGCTGCTGCTGCAGCTGCTGCTGTTTGCTGCTTGCTGCAGCAGGTTTTAGGACGCCGACGCTCGTTGCACGCAGACACCCCATATTGCTGCGCCTGCTGCTGCTGC